AGAGCCTCCAGAGTGGGAAGTCTGCAGGGTGAGTGAAGCCGGTCAGCTGCTTACCCGCTGGCGACCACCTGCGGCCTCGATATTGTTGACTAGAAGCACGTGGGTGTGGGGCGCGCCTGGCTGGAGCCTGCGGTGGGCGTGGGCACGTGGGCACACCTGTGCCGGCAGGGAGGGATAAAAGGGCGGCGTCCGGGGCGCGGCTCGCCTGCCCTCTCCCCGCCAGCTAGTTCCCTCTGCTCACTGAGGCAGGCTACGATGCCCAGGGCACCAAAATTCTTTTGCGTGTGTGAAGAACTGGGGTGCAGGCCGGAGGTGCAGGGTGGGGGGGCGAGAGGATTCACCAGAGACAGAGTGGGGAGCAGGACAGGCGGATCCAATGAAGAGCACGGGTGTGGGGAGCAGCGGAAGAGACAGGAGGGGTCTGCTGTGCCCTGTGGGCCACCTCCCTGGCCGGGGATAGCTCTGATACTTAGCCCCTAGCCACCAGGGAGGCCCCCCAAATCTCTTTCAAATCGCTAAAACCGAGGGTTAGCCTACAAGCTGGGGTGGCTGCAAAATGGGTCTGTGGGCAGGGACCTGAAAGGAAGCCTGCAGCTGAGCCCAGGGCTGGTGGGTCAGGGAGGCGCTAGGCAGGCGGGGGGCCACACTGGTCCAGGGTTCGGGTGTGGAGAACAACCTGAGGGCAGGCTGGAGCTGAGGCTGCCGGGCTGGGGGCAGGGCTGGCTTGGCGTGGGCCCTCTGGTTGGGGGGTGCAGAATGTGACACTGGGGGCAGGCGGCGATCTGTCGAGAATGGTGACGAGAAGACTGAGGGCTGTGGCCAGGGAGTGGGATGTGGCGGTTGAAATTTCTCAGGATGAAAACAAGGCTTGGCTTGTGGTCGGGGAAATAGGCGGGGAGAGGGTTGGTAAATGGAGGAATGAAGCGCAGGGGAGGGGAGGGCTAACCCTTGGGGGTGGGCCCCAAGAAAACTGGCAAAGAGGGGCACTGCCAGCCTTAGGTGGGGTTTCAGAACACGGCGGAGGAGGGGAGAGGTTATCTGGGTGATCGTGAGTTTTGTCCAGAGAAAGGAGGCAAAATCAGATGGTGTGGGAGGAAGAGCCCCGGCCAGGTGGTGCAGGCCAGGTGAGCCTCCCTGTGTGTGCTGTGAGCGCTCGGGAGCTGGAGGCTGATAGTCCGTGTGAGCAGGTCTGGGGTTCACACTCCCAAGCCCTGGCACCCCAGCGCTTAAATCTTCAACTCAGGAGGCCCCTCGGACTGTTCAAGCGACAGGCACCCACTGAAAGGCAGAGTCTCCAGGCGACCTGTGCACAGCTTGTCCTCAGCCGGGGGCCCTAGAACATTTCTCATGTGGCCTCTGGGCCCTGCGATGTGGGGGCCCTGGGATGTGGGGGGCACCTCATTTTCAGAGGCAACCATCTCAGCTGGAAGTTCCTGAGGTCAGGCTGGAGAAAGGCAGGCCGAGGTGTGTTTTTAAACCTAAGTGGGCGCTACTCTCGGGGAGACAGACGGGCAGCTGGTTAGACCCTGGTCAGGAGGCCTGTGGCTGCCAAGTGGGCCGGGTGCTGCCCGAGCTGTGCCGAGGGGTGCGGCGGGCGGGGTGGCAGGGGAGGGGAGCGGCAGTTCCCAGCGGGGAGCAGGTGAGGAGGCCGAGGACTGAGCCCAGACGCGGGGCGCTCACAAGCCCACGAAACACGCTGTCGGCCCTTCCCCGGGCCCTGGAGTCCTGCACCGCTCTGAGAGTGAAGGTCGGTCCAGGTCAGGGCTGACCTGTCAGCATGTGGGGTACGCCTGCCCCCACGTGGGGGACCTGGAGTTCCATGGGCAGCCAAGTGGCAGACGTGCCAGCGCCGGGCATGGAAGATAAGCCTGGGCTGCTTGGCCCCACCAAGCGCAGGAAGCAGGGGCAGGCAGCTCTGCAGCTCCAGTCGGCAGGTCCTCCCTGGGACCTGGGACCAGTGTGGGGGCTGCGGGCGTGTTTCAGGAGCGGTCAGCAGGAGGAAGGGCCCGGCTGTACCTCACGGGCCTCTGACAGGGCCCCCAGCAGTAGCCTGGGCCTGGCCCAGACAGCGCTTTCTTTCCTGACTTTGCTTTCAGCAGCGCGGGGCTGCCCGTGTCCCTGCTGGGGGATGGGCTGAGCGCAGGCCGGCACAGGGCTCTCGGGGTCTCCGGGAGGGGTGCACACCTTCTCCTGACACTGTGGCTTCTCCAGAAATGAGACAGGACTTCTATGTTCAAAGGCCAAATTTGGATCTGCTTGACATCTTGCTCAGGAAGAGATGTCGGGAAAGTGCACCAAAGCGGCCTTCTCCCGCCCTCCACCTGCATGCCCGGGGCACGCGCTGTGATTACGGACACCTGGGCCCAGAGCCCGGGGCCTGCGCGCACGTGAAGGCGGACACCTGGGCCCAGGAGCGGAGGGCGAAAGGGGCTCCCGGCGCTGGCCAGTGGCTGCGGCCTGAGGCTAGTGGGCTCTGTTGCTGTCTCCCGGCCGGCTGGTCTGTTCCCATGCAGCAGTAAAGGCTTGTAAGATGACCCCAAAGGCTCTAAAATATTTTTTTTCTTTTTAAAGATTTATTTATTCACACAGAACTGTGGTGTAGGCTAGAGGCTCAGGGGCGCTGAGAGGCTTCACCAGAGACAGAGTGGGGAGCAGAACAGGCCGACTGACCAAGTACACTGCTGAGGGAGCAGCGGGCGGGTCAGGAGAGGTCTGCCACGCCATGTGGTCTCCTCCGGGCCTGGGGCTCACTTGCAGTGTGCGCTGTAACCTGCTGCACCCCCAGGCAGGGCTCCCAAATCCTCTATCTGCGGGAATCAACAATGGACCTCCTGGCCTGGGCCCTGGGTGGTAGCACGAGAGGGTTCCTCAGCAGCAACGCTCAGGCCAGGGCTGACGCTCCTCTGCCACCTTCCCGAAGAGGATGGAAGAGTCGGGCCGCACCCACAGCGAGGGGGGGGGGCAGCCAGAGCAGCTGCAGGACAGGAGCCCTCCTCTGGGTCCCCAGGGGGTCCCTCACCGCTGGGTCAAGTTAGTCCTCAGCCTGCCCCATCACCTGGCCCCTCTCTCCTCCTGGAAAGGTAAACACAGGTTTCCTCTGACCAGCCAGGGCCATCTTTCCTGTTGGAGTCCGCTTCCTGCCTGCCGTCCTACCTCTTGCAAGCTCCCGGGCGGGGTCTGGATAGTGTTGCTCAGCAGCTCCCTTCCTCTGGGCCTGTGCTGCCCAACGCGGCCACCACAGGCCACACGCACTACTGAGCCCCTGAAATGTGGCTGGTTCCAACTGAGCTGAGCTCCAGGTGCAAAACACACACCTGATTCCAAGGACGGTACAAAACACAACGCCCAGCTCAGAGATTCTTTTGTGCTGGTTGCATGTTAAAAAGAATATTTGGGGCATATTGGGCTTTATAAAATCTATCAATACTGACTTTCCTTAGGTAATGGGGCCACATCCCACTTTCTTTTCACACCTTGTCTGGGCCCGGCGGGCGGGAGCACTGCTCACACCCCTGTGGGACAGTCGTCCCTCCAGCTCCACACGTGCTGCCTCTCCCAGAGAGGGTGAGCCCAGCCCCCACCCCAGCTCCCGAGACACCCGGAGCCGGCATCAGCCTGAACAAGTTCAGCTGGGAGCTGGGACCGCTCCCATGCTCCTGACACAATCCTCGACAGGTGAGCGCGGCTTAGAGCGGCTCAGAAACAGCGAGGGGATACTTATCAGAGAACTTTCTACGTTTGAAAAAATCGACCCCAAGTAGGTGGTGCTCACCGCCGAGCCCCCCTCCAGGCTCCGCGCTACACTCTCGGGGTGCTGCCAGACCTGCCTGAAGCGCAGTCTGAAGCGCAAGGGCTTTCCGAGTGTCTGTCTGGGTGGCTGCTGGCAGGGGGCAGCCTCCACACATTCCCTGCCTCCCAGCACCTGCTTTTCTGCAGCCCCTGCAGAGAAAGCACTTTGCACACGCTGCAGGCGACACCGAGGGCTGCAGGTTGGCCTGGGGTGAGCCAGGTGTCAAGGGCGACCGCGCTGACCCCTAAATCCGCAGGTGCCTCAGCCGCGTGTCTGCTGGAAGCCACGCTTCTCGCTGCCTGAAAGGTCAGCTGCGTGCCACGACAGACCAGAAGCAGGAGTAAGCATGGGATGGAAGAGTCAAGAAGCAAAGCAACAGAAAAAGTTAAGGCAGGAAGAAAAAGTTCAAAGCGAGGCTCCAGCCCAGGCCAGGCGAGCCTTGGCCTTTGACAGTGATTCCAGCCAGGCCGCCTCGTCCCGGACGCCAGCAGCCAGCCATCTGCCTTCAGGGAGACGAGGCCGATGTCACAGGTGGCCTGGGTAGACCATGGTGCGGGAACAGTGGGGACCAGGGATGGAGGCTGGGGCTGCCCCTCTCTGCACATGAACCCAGCTGACCTGGGGTCCTGCCCGCAGGGCTGACGCCGCCACCCTGGAGCTCACAGCTCTGCTCTCCTGGGCCTGCTGCCTTCTCCGGCCATTAGCTCCCTCTACCCCCCCCCATCACTCCCCTCAGCCACCCACTCCCTCACGCACTCACCCATCACTCCCCTCAGCCACCCACTCCCTCACGCACTCACCCATCACTCCCCTCAGCCAGGGTCTCCAGCAGGGGAGGCTGAAGCAGCAGAGGGGGGCGGGAGAGAAACTCTCCTGGCCAAGGGCACGGTGCCAGCCAGCAGCCCACCCAGCTCTCTCAGGAGCAAGGAGAGACGTCTCCGACGCCAGCCAGCTTTGCCTTTTAGCAGAACACTTTCACATTCACTTGCTGTTTCGAGGCCGGAGGAGGAGCCGGAGGAGGTTGTTTGGTTGGGAGATGCAAGGGAGCGGAAGGGCCCGGCCCTCCACCCAGTCTGCCTGTTTCCGGGCCATTAGGGACAACTAAGCCCCTTTTTCGCTCAAGTCCCTCCTTGGGGGCCCTGGTCACTGCTCCTTCCAGGACCAGGGAGGACGGAGGAGGGTCCCAGGCCCCAAAAAGGAGAGACGCGGGTTGGAGTGAGTCCATGGCAGCCCCGGGACGTGTCCTTTAATTGTCGTTCCTGTCCCTGCCTCCCCACCCCCCTGAGCCCCAGATGACATATTTACAGGATGCTGTATGGCGCCAGTTCCAGGCCCAGGCCCAGCAGCCTTCTTTCCTCCCTGGGCACAGGGCGGGGCAGGAGCACCCAGCCAGCGGGAGCCAGGCGGCCTGGTCCAGGCTTCGCTCTCTCTGCCCCCATGCCCACGCTCACGTGCAGCGCGTGCACACACACACACACACACACACGCACGCAGGCAGGTGCGTGCACTCGCCCTGAGGCAGAGTGTGGGTCTGGAGCTTGTGCGCCACAGGCCGCCGAGGAGGCCTTCACCGCGCAGCAGAACCCAGCCCTGCCCTGGGCGCCTGCCGGAGGGGCTGGCGGGCGGGCCTGGCCAGAGGGGTCCCCCCCACCCCCCTCGCTTGGGCTGTGCCAGCTGGAGCTCAGTCTCGAGGATCCCATCCGGCTACCCAAACGGGCGTCTCTGACCCCGAGGGGTGGTGCAGGTAACAGGGAACCATTTCCTCTGATTCCTCCTCAAAGATGCCCCCGAAACAGGCACTGGAACAAGCAGTTCAAAGGCCCTGGGGTGTTCAGAACCCCCTGTGAGTCTGGGGGGGATCCCTGGGGAGAGGGGCTCCGGCCATTTGTGGCTTTCATCCGTAAGGTAGTTTGACCCCCGCCTTTCCCCCGCCGGCTGGGTTTCAGCAGCAGAGCAGCCTGGAGCTCCGGCCCAGTGAGGGTCTCGAGGGAAGCCTGGGTGGGGCTGCGGCTTGTGGGAAGACTGACAGGGATGTGCCTGGCCTGAGCCAGGACTTGATGGGGAAAACAACTGTAAACTTACTGCTGGCCCTGGAGTAGGGGTAAGGAGTGGAATGGGTTTGACAGGGCCTTGAGGACTTTTCTGGAAACTGAGGATCACACACGAGACCTGCCTTCTCCTACCTCCCGCACGTCACAGGCAGAGCTCCTACCCTCTAGGCACTGGGCCACCCTTGGCCACCCCTACTTAGGAGAGGCTTCCCTGGGAGGGTGGCCCAGCCGGGGGGCTCTTGGCCATGCCAGGGGGCACCTAAACCCTGAGTCAGCCCCAGAGTCACCTTTCTTGGAAGGGGGGAAGGTGCCATTTTGTTTCAGGGACTGTATTTTTCTAGACCCCCAAATATACGTGTCCTGGTAGGGGCAGCAGGATAGCTATTTTGGAATTGACAATCTGGGACATGTAGCTCCGTACCCATAACCTAGGCCGGGGCACAGAACAGGCAGCTTTGGTTTGAATCAGCACTCACACGCTCGCCAAGCTCCGCGGGCGGGGCGGAGGGGCAGGCTGGGGAGCCGGGCCCCGGCCCGGCCCGGGACCCTGTGCTTGGTGAGAGGGCTCCAAGTGTGGTCATCCTAGGTGACGGCCGTGCCCTGGGCCCTCGGGTCCCTCCCCAAAACATCAAAGCATGTCCACAACTGCCCTGTCCCCAGCACCCCCAAGGTTACATTCATCAGTTAAGATTCAGTTTTTTAAAAATGTAGGTATCGGCCCCTCCCCCTAAGTCCCAGAAAGCTTAAAAACCTGGTCCCACCTGCCTGGTTTTGAGGAGGGGCCATCCCAGGCCATGTCCACTGGTGGCTGCCTGCCCCCCGGAGCACCCCCAGGCCCCCCTCCCCCGCCACTTGAGCAGTGGCAATCCGCGATGATGGAAGCTACATTCACACAGGGAGAGTTGGTGTGCAGGGCCAAAGCCACATGAGGTGCGAGGGGGGCCCCGAGGCGCTGCCCCTGGCCTGGTCCGCCCTGGTGGTGTGAAGGGCAGGGTCACAGCCTCCCACCGGGACCCTGTGGGGCCAGGAGTTGAAGGGCTCGGGCCCGGAAGACATTTGCACGGCGCCTCCCTCCGTGGCTGGGCAGGGGCAGCCTCCTCGAAGGTCAGGGTGGAGACGGTGGGTGCCAGCCTCGGAGGGAGGGGGGTGGCACTTAGGCCCCTCCGGACCTGGAACGGAGAGGGCGTGAGGGGAGGGTATGAGGCAGGGCCCAGAGGGGGAGCCCCTGAGCCAGGCCCTGGGAGGTCAGTGCCAGGGCCTGGAGGCAGCAAGTCACAGGCTGGCCAGGGAGGGGTCTGGCGGGAGGTCAGACAGCGGTGACATGGAAGACAAAACAGATGGGGCGCAGAGGTAGTCTCCCTTTCCAGGGCACGGGTTGTGGGAGGCGCAGCTCCAGGGTCCACCTGGCAGGGTGGTCTGGACTAGAAGGGCAGGAGGAAGTGGGCCAAGGCCTGAGGGCACGAGTGGAAGGGACAGGGACAAGCTGAGGACTGTTCCTGGAGCGGGTGCAACCACCCCTGCAGTGACAGCGGTGGGGCGCAGGGGTCAGCCCCCAGCTCCCCATCAACAGAATGCGAGGTGACGAATGAGATGGAGGAGACAGGGACAGCGGGAGGGATGACGTGGCCGGCGTCACACTGCCCCCTGCTGGGTCGGGTCGTACCTTCCGCGGCGGATGTTTCTTCAGGAGCCAAGGAGAGACGAGCAGAGGGAAAGGAAGAGGAGCCGGTGACTCTCCCCTGCTCTCAGGGAGGGCCAGCTCTGAGACCCCTGCTCTAGAGATGGCCCGAGTCCCTGGGGCCTGGACGCTACTGACCCGCCCTGGGAGACGCTGAGGAGACCATCAAAGTCGGGTCCTGGGTTCGAGTCCTGACTGCAGCCACCCCACACTCCCACCCCGACTTCGCCTCCGGTCCTTTTGCCCTGCCTGTTGCACGGTGAGACGAGCCCAGGGCCTGGGGACGCTGCCCTGTCTGGGGCAGCCCTGCTCAGCTCCTCCGAGGCCTAACTGAGGTGCACTGAGGTACAGTCGGGTGCTGTCTCATTTCCCAACAGAGAAGTTGGAGATCAGGGTCGTTGGCTTTTAAACACGGGCAGCCCAGCTTTAAAAGAGTTAAGATCCCTGGCTGGTTGGGACCATGCAGTGTGAACTCTGGTCTGGCTAACCTCCCAGGCAGGCCCTGGAGGGTGCCAGGAGGTGTGTGTGTGGGGGGTGTCCTTACTTAAATCCCCAGCCCGTGCCGCCCAGGACGATAGCTGCAACGAGGACAGCCCCGGCGATGGAGCCAATGATGATGTTGGTGCCGCTGGGACCTGGGAGGGGACAGGGCTTGGTTGGCAGGACAGGAATGGCGGGAGGGAGGGGCAGAACCCGCCCCGACCAGCTCCTGTCTCACCCTTATATCTCTCTGTCTCCCCTGTGGGCGGAGACGTGGGCAGGGGATTGTGGATGCTGCAGTCTTTGCCTGTCCAGTCTGGCTGACAGATGCACTTCCCTTCGTTGCTGCAGACCTGGAGAGGGGGAGGGCCAGCTTCAGGGGGGCTCTGTCCCCCCCCTCATAAGCCACGCTCAGCACCCCTGGCCTCCAGGCACCCACCCCGTGGTGGGAGCAGATCCGGCGTTCCCCGCTGCCAGGGCAGCTGCTGAAGTTGAAGGCAGAGGCTGGCAGGCAACGGTGATCCAGGCACAGCATGTTGGGGCCACAGGCTGTGCCATCCTCCACATAGCTCAGGTCAGAGCCATCGGCCAGCTGCACATGGCCACCCCTGGGGAAGCAGCACCGCCGGGCTCGGTGCTTGCCCCCCCCCAATCACAGCCACGACCTCCCTCCCCAGTCGTGATCCCAGCCAACACCTGCAGTCTAGCTCCTTGCCCTGATGGTAGAAGGTGACGCTGCTGATGTCTCCCCCTAGGTCCCCCAGGCGAGGCGCTCCAGAGATGTTCACACAGAGGAGGAAGCCACAGAGCACATCCCTGTTGGGGCAGTGTGGAGACAGTGAGCCTCAAGTCTGACCTCAGACCCAACCACTCAATTCCAGTTTGCCCTCCCCGCCCCCTCCATCTTTTCCCATTCTACCCCAACAGGGCTCAGGCTCGCCCTAAGACAATCTGTTGCCCTATGTCCCCAAGCCCCAGAGCTAGAGAAGCCCAGCCAAGGCCATTGGTTACTCACTGTTTATTGCACTGGACCCAGCCTGACCCCTTGCGCCCACAGTTCCCACGCTCTGTCCCCTCCACGTTCAACTTCTCATAGCAGAAGCGGTCAGCAGCCGCTAGAAGGAGATGATACCTCGTGTCACCCCACTCACTCCAGAACCCACCCAAGACTTTTAGCCTGACTGGGTCCCTGAGGTCCTGGGGAGCCGCTCATTGGGAGCAGGTGTATTCAGCAGGTGCCGGCCCCCTCTCCAGCCTCTCCATTCTGGGTCCTTTGCAGTCTCATCTCCCGTCCTTCCAAAGAGCTCACCATGGCCCCAGAGGGCTTGGCACTGCCGGTCCCGGGTTTTGCAGCGACCCCCGTAACAGCGGCCCTGAGGAATGATAAATTGGAGAGGAGGGACAGACGCTGAGTGTCCGGATGATGGCGAGACTGCACGGCACTGGGGGAGAGCAGCCCCGCCCCATCATACCTGCTCATGATCACAGTAGTACCCGTCCAGCTTGTGCAGATTAGGGGGACACTGTGGACAGAGGGGCTGGACTGAGCAGCAGCTGGGACTGAGAGTTGAGGACACTCCAGGCATGCGCAACCTCACTCCTCAGCCCCCTCATGACAGCTGACATGACAGGACTCTTCCATCTTGCTCAGAACTCAGGTCTCCCTTAGCCTCCCTCCTTCACAGGGCTGGGAGAAGTGTCTGGCATGTCACAGGATGTATTCGAAGTTCATATTATTATCCACTCTGATCTCAAGCACACCCCAGGCACCGCGCCAGGTGCTGGGAACACCAGTCAGGCTATAAATACTCTCAGTGATTGAAGGGACAAAACCAGGGGGCATGAAGAACCACTTTCTCGGGGTGTGTGGGGGGGGGTGAAGCTGAGTCTGCTCAGCTTCACGGGCCGCCAGCGGCAGAGCGGAGGCGTGGAAAGCAGGGGACTCCCTAGAGCCAAACCCGTAGGATAGGGGCTGTCTGGCCAGGGGTCCCGCAGTGGGCCTGGCCGGTCAGACCTGGCTCGAGTCCCCGGTGCAGGTCTCCGCGATGTCGCACTCATTTACGGCCTCTCGACAGGACACGCCTCGCGGCTCATACTGGGGAAGAGTGGCGTTCCGGGGCTCAGGGGCGAACCTGGAGCTCGTCCGCGCCTCCTCGGACTCCGCCCCCGCCCCCAGCCCCGCCCCCAGCCCCCCCGACCCCCAACAGGCCCCGCCCCTCGCTCCCATTGGCGCTTTCTTCGCGTGAAGTCCCACCCACCAGAATTACTCGGCTTCTATTGGTTCCTTCTCTAAGTCACGCCCCTTATCAGCTTTTCCCCGCCCCAGCGGCTGGTCCAACTCACCTTGCAGCGGCGACAGCAGAGTCCATCGCTGCACATGGCGTCGTGAGTCAGGGTGCATTTCTTGCAACAGTTCCCTCCCGCGCGGCTGCACTCCTGAGGGATGTGGGGAGGAGAGGGAGGCGGCCGAGACCTGGACTTCTCCACCCGAACCCTCCTTCAACCCACCCTCGCGTCGTCCGGCCCCACCTGGTACTGGTCACTCACCTGCACCGAGCCGCAGTCGCACTCCTCCCCCGCCTCTACGAAGCCGTTCCCGCACTCTGGCGGATCCAGGAGCTGGACCAGGACGGGGGAAAGGGTGTCAGAGTCTGGCCACGACCCCGCCCGAGCCCCGCTCCCACGCTCCCACGCTCCCGGTCCTGGGCTGGTACCTTGAGGGGCTTGTTGAAGAGGCAGCTCCCGCCCCCCTCCTGCAGAAACTGGTTGTACTCGTCTATGCTGCAGCGCGAGAACTTGCGGGGCAGGTAGAAACTGGCCGGGGTGAGGGGACAGGGCTGCTGGATCCCGGCCCGCCCCTTCCCCCATTCCCTTTCTCGCCCCATCTCAAGATTAAGGAGGGGGTGAACCGTGCGACTCGGTCACCCTCTCGAAGAGGCTGAGGATCTCTGTCCTCAGAGACTGAGGCAAGGAGCCCCCCAACACACACCAAGCGGGAGTGGAGAGGAGAAACAGGCCTGCCTTTTGCCTGACACTCGGGACTCAGGATGGAGGCCAAGAGAGACGCCAAACGCGGCTTTGGCGGCGCCCAGTGGCGACAGGGCGCACTACAGGCTGTCCAGTTCGGTGTCAAGCAGGGAATCTGGGTCTCCTGTGCAAGTCTGCAGGACACTTATAATCCTGAGTGGTCCGGAAAGCTAGGTCTCTGGAGGCCACCGGTACAGACAGTCACGCAATTCTTGCTCTGGGACCACCCCAGACCCAAGACCCTCCCCCAGTTTGTCCCCAAGAACTCACCCCGTGTCCTCCATGATGCAGCCCAACCAGTTGTCCGGACATTTGCAGTCCCCTGGGAGGTGAGCCAGGTGGGTATAAGGGGTGGTAGAGGACCCCTCCCTCTAGAGGGGCTTCACTTCTATAGCCGCTGGGTGGGTCTGGGCTGGCTGTGGGGCCACATCATGGATACCTGCTGAACTGCGGTGCTTATTCCACATCATGCCCAGGTTCTGTCCCAGTGTCTGCGCCAGGGTCACTGCCATGGCCCCCATGTTGTCATACTTGGGGTGGAGAAACAAAGATGTCCACATCTCTCCAAAAGGCACAGGACTCACGCCCTTCAAAGCCCACCATTCTCCCTCCAACCCTCCACCCAGCCATACCCCCACACCCCACATGGCTCACCTCGTTCACACCCCCACCCCTGGACAACGAGCAGATGCCCCCCACATAAGCAGCCCCGCTACTGGTGCTCTGGAATGTCTTGCCCCTGCAAGGGAGAGGGTTGTCAGGAAGACTCCTGCCATCCCACAGTGGCTCCCCTGGACTGCCAGGGGTGATGGGGAGTCTCCCTCCCCAGAGCCCCTCCCTGGGGGCAGTAAGCATTGCCCTGGCTTCAGCCTGCGCAAACCCCTCTTTGCAGAAGGCCGTAAGCCATAATGAGAGGTTCCCGCTAGTCATGGCAAATCATAAGGCCCTTTCATCATTTTTTCCATCACTGGGGCACTGAGTCCCTGAGGAAGGACAGCTGGGATAGTCTAGAAGGAAAGAGGTGTGAAGAGGGACAGAGATGGACAGAAGCACACTGGGGGCCAGGGAAAGGGGCATGAGTTTAAGATGCAGGTGATGGTGCGCAGCCTGTTGCTCGTGGCTGGGGGGGCAGGCACAGTGAGTCCAGTCCCCAGAACCTGCCAAGCCCTGGCCCAGAGCAGCTGTCCAACAGCCCTGTGCTCTGCAGCAAGCCGTGGTGGTTGGGGCTGGACGGGTGGGGACGCACGAGAAGAGGTGGGTGGCGTCGCTGGGCTCAGGCAGGCCTTCCCGCCGGTAGACCATGAGCCGGGCCAGGGTCTCCAGGAGGTCGTCCTGCACCTGGATCTTGTCTCCGTCTGCCCACGTTTCCATGGCAACCAGCACAATGCGGGTATTGAGCTGCTCCTTGTACATCTGTGCCCAGAGGGGAGAAGATGAGGAGGGGGCTAGACGTGAGAAAGTGGGGGACAGGGTGGTGGGAAGGTCTTCCAGTACTAAGGCGTCAGAGGTTCGTGGTGTCCTCCAGAACTCACCCCAAGGATGGGAGGGCTGGGGGGGCAGAAGGGGCAGAGGGAAGGGAAGGCGGGCTGCTCACCACATCCGCCAGGTTCACCACGGACTTGGCAAAGTTGCTGGTGAGGACGACAGACTGCCGCATCTGCTCAAACTAGGAGAGAGAAGAGTCGGCAGAGGGCGAGGCTCCTCCCGGACCTCCCAGGTCCGCCCAGGAACTTACCAGCTGGTGGTCGTTGATCACAATCAGCTCCACATACTTGGTCTCGCTGTGCACTGTAGGGTGACCCCGGCGGACCTAGGGGGTGGGTGGGCACTCGGAATCAGTCCCCTCCATGCCTGGTGTCCTGGCCACGCCAGGACTGATGGGGAGGCTGCAGTCCAGGCAGGGGCCATGCCAGCCCCCCGCTGGTGGGGGGCTCCCATCCCACCCCACCCCAGCCTCCGTACCAGGGCAGACTGCCTTGGCTGGCCACGGTGGGGTGTGGGTAAATAGTGGGGTGAGAAAATGGGGTGGGGCTTTCTCCGAGCCCCAATCATGCCAATCTGAGCTCTCCGTTGCCCCAGCCACGGGTGGGGTGTCTTTCTGCTCCAGACTACAGCGCAAGGTCTCTGCAGCCCGAGGTCTGTGCGGGCCCCCGTACCTGCCTTTTCCTTCTCAGCCTCGGCCGGTTTGGAGGAGCAAGATGAACGTGGGCAGCAAACAGGCAGCCTGGAGGAGGGCACAGGTGAGGGGGGCACACCCACCCCCCCGCCCCCACCTCCCCTCCCTTACCTGGTTCCCTGCATCTGAGGGGGTCTGGGAGGAGAGGGGTCCGGTAAATGAGGTGGGGAAGGGGTCCCTGCAATGAGGGGGAGTTCATTTTCGGCAGCTGACAGCGCGCTGAGCCCACTTGGGGGGCCTCTCCGGCCCCTGCCCCACCCCCACCTAGGCTGACCCAGAACTGGCCCGAGCCCCTCTGTCGGATCTGATCTCCCCGACGCTCAGATTCCAGGGTCAAGGCCTGGGGGTGCCCTGAGAGACAGGGGCAAAGGACACTAGAGCCTGGTGGGAGGTTACTTGGGGGACACCGGGGACATTGGAGCTGGGGCACAGGATGAGAAAACCCGATCTGGGGTCACCGAGGAGGGCAGAGAGGCTGCGGTTGCCAAGGGAGGAGGAAGAGGGGGCGGTGGCAGAGAGGGGCCCTGGGAAGAGAGAGTGGGAGGGGCCGCGGGCTTACCTGCGTGGCTTCCGGGGGCCCGGCCATCTCTTGCGGCTCCACGATATAGGTGAAGTTCCCGTCAGAGAAGACCCCACTACAGAGAGAGAGGTGCCGCTCCCCACGGTCCCCAGGGCCAGCTGGTGGACTTTCCCCCAGGGCCCCCGAGTCCCCCACCCCCATACTCACTGCAGCCCCTGGCAGGTGGAGAGGGCGGCAAAGGAGTGGGGGTTCCCCCGCAGCTTTCCCTGGTAGTAGCAGTGGTCTCTGGCCCCCTGGAGGAACAACGAAATGGTGGGTGGCCCAGCCCTCGCCCCGAAAGAAAGGAGGGCGACGGTGGCAGAAGCTGCCCCTGGGCCCCCGGGCCAGTTCCCAGCCCTCTCTGGCCCTCACCTCACCCCCACAGCGAGGAGGAAGGGGCTCTTAGCATTAGCTGGGGCTGAGGGGTCCCGGCTCCTCTGAGAACAGCCAGCACGCGGTCAGCGCCCACTGCGCAGCCCGGCCCCCAGCCCGGCCCCACACCGCAGGCGGTGAGCTCGGCAGACTGTGGACTTGCGGGCAGCTCGAGCTGCGCCCCACACCTCGGCCGGCCCGAGGCTGGGAGCGGGGAGCGTGTGTCCTCTGGGGGCTCACGGGTCAGAGGGGACCGGCACTACTCGCTCCGCTTCCTGAAGAAGGACTTGTGCCCCAGTTACCAACAGGCTGGGCGTGGGGAGGTATTTATAGACACTCATTCATCTAAGCCTGGCCCCTGGGCCTCGGGGCTGGACCCCGGCGCTCCAGGCAGCCAGGAACACCAGGTCTCGGTGCAGATCCCAGGACGGCCCCAGATGCCCCCTGCTGAGTCTGCGCCAGCCAGGGGCTTCAGATGCCTGCAAGCCAGGCAGAGAAGCTGCCAGTCCGCGCTCCAGAGCCTGGAGAGGGAGTGGCCAGGACCCCGGTCCTTCAGTGTGGGGAGAGATGGCAGGTGCCCGGGGACAGGCCCACCCCAAGTGTACAGCAGACCCCGGACCCCATGTCTGCGGGCCACCTGCCCCCAGTTCCTCCTCCCCGGCCCTTCCAAGAACACTCACGGCGCTAAGCTGGGTTGTGCCCTCCCGGCTGAAATGGCGCTCCACGTACTGAGAGGACAGCAGGTGACTGGAACGAACGGGGTGGGCCAGAGGAGGGTGTCACTGCGGGGTCACTGCAGGTCTCTGGCTGCAGGCAAGACCCCTCTCCAGCACCCCACTCCCAATAACCAGCCGGGCCTGGCCATTCCTCCTGCCCACTGCCCTAACCCCAGGCTCAAGGCCACACTCACTGGTTTAGCTCCAGGTCCAGAGTGAAGTTTGCATTGAAGGCTGGGATGAGGAAGCTCACCTGGGCCAGGTGGACAGGCTGGGGGAGGGGAGACAGAGGGGAAGTCAACCTGTGGAGCCTGAAGGCAGGAACAGTGGAATGGGGGACCCCAGAATAGGGAGTTGCCCTAGGGGGAGTGTGGTGCAACCCACCAGCCTGGGGCCACTGATGGGGTGGTGGGGTGTGGGGGGTGGGGTGTGGGGGTGGTGGGGTAGCTGCTTTGTACCAATTCATCCCCGTCTAGTCCTGTCTCCTCACATTGCAGGCCCTTCTCTTCCTGTCCCCCTCAAACTTCAGGGGTGGAGTGGGGTAGGATGGGTCACAGGATCCCCGGAAGCCAGGGCAGTGCCAGGGCAGCGGGAGAGCACTTGACTTCTCCCCCACCACCTCTGTTGCCCTCCACCTTGTCCAAGCAACTCATCTTTAATATTTCAATCCTATGGTTAATTTTTAAACATGGAAGTTTTCCTGATAAATTTTTCAGAGGGGCCTCTGCAGTGGGGCTGGGAGGCTCTCGGTTGTCATGGCAACATACCAGGCCCGAGCAAGATGGCTGCCCTCCCGGGCCTGGGCGCCTGCCTGGAAGGAGAGTGACCCCAAGAGTAGACGAAGCAGGAGTCTGGGCTGGGGTGGAGCCGGGGTTTTGGGGTTGTGGCTCCTCAAAACCCTGGCAACATGCCTGGAGGCCCTGGGAGCCCCACCTCACCCTCAGGTGCTTACAGAAGCACAGGAATGGTCTGAAGGGGGTTCAGAGGCTGGAGTCCTCTCCCATCCACAAGGCGGCATTCCAGGCCTCAGAGGAGGGTCCCACACCAGGGCCATGGTATGTGAGAAATCTGTTTGCTGTCTTTCTTCTGAGAGGAGCAAGGTGCAGGGAGAGAGGCACCTGCCGTCAGGGGCGCAGCTGCCTGCCCGCTCGGCTTCCTTTTCGATTGCCCAGTCGTTTCTAATCTTCACTGTGCACTTAGCCAGGCACCATTTACACATTTTACCATATTGTCGTATTTGATCTCCACAACCCAGTGGGATAACTCTGACAGGTGGGGAAACTGAGGCACAGAGCGGCTAACCAAGGTCACACAGCTAAGAGGGGGTAGAGCTAATTGCACCCAGGCAGTCCGTTTCCAGGGCCAAGGATGAGGCTAGACAGCAATGGCCCTGGGTCCCCGAGTGGCCCTGGAGAGGGGGCAGGCGGGGCAAAATGTCAAGGCCTGGCTAGGCAGCCTCCTGAACCCCAAGGACAGACTCGTCCTACCCAAGACTCCACGCTCTTCCTGAGCCCCTAAAACATCGATCGAACTCAAAATAGAAAGTCAAGGACAAGGAGTCACTAATTCCCTCACCTTGCCAGCCTGGACACCCCTGTCCTCCTCCTTGTCTCTCGGGCTTGGATGACCTCTTTCCCACCCGTCTCTGCCCTCAGGAACGTTCCTGTTCCCCCTTCTCACCCCTGCACTGCCAAGACCCCGTCCTGGCCACCCAGGCCCATTGCCCTGACTCCACCCTCTAAGCCTGTGCAGCCTCAGAGCTGATCCAGCCACCTCTCGGAGCCTCAGCTGTCCCCACTGAGAACGGTGTCCGAGTCCAGATTCGAGGCGGTGAGGTTGGCATGCATGGTGGGGTTCGTCCTGGGCGGGAGTCAGCCCTGGCACGTCAGTATCTGTCCCACTTTGGAAGCCAGCAGGCTAACTCAGCTGGCGTCCCCCCTCTCTGCAGACCGACCTGACCCCCATTCCAGGGAAATCTTGGACCGGCATCAGGGCTTTGCCCTCTTTCCCACCGGGCCTGGGCAGGCCCCTCCCCAGCAGGACTCGGGGTTCAGGCCAGATTGAGCCTGGCAGGGTCTGGGCCCCACAGCAGGCAGGCCAGGGAGGGTAGGAGGCCACCGAAAGGTGGGGGAAGAGGAGGGAAAGGAACTCAAGTGTCTGGGTATGGGGGTTCAAGGGAGGAGAAGAGTGAGCACGCTCACGTCAATCCCAGGACTTAGGCATCCCAGGTACTTGGGGAGTCTCCGCTGGAGTCCTAAGACACCCCAGACAGACTGCTCCCCACCAAGCCCCCCGGCTGCCTCAGGCATCTGGCCTTTCCCTGACCTTCCCCACCCTCCCTGGGTCCTCGGGGTGCCCTGGAGAGCCCCTTCTGTCCGGCGCCTGCCGTCCCCTGAGCCCAGCTCAGTACTGCTGATGACCGCAACCAGCCCGGCCTTGACCCCAGCCTCTTGCTCCCGCTCGGGTCTCACATGCTCATATCCATATCCAACCTGCCGGGCCGTCTGGCGCTCGTTTTACAGAGTCAGGCTGAGGCTTGGGGACAGACACTTGGAGGTGATTGGCCCGGGGCAGTGCGGGGTCAGGTCTCTCCCGGGAGCGGAGTCCCTATCGCGAGCAGCGGCCCCCTGGCTGGGGCAACCACCCTGGGCCTTCCCCAGCCTCTCTGCACCCCATCAGGCCCCACCAGGTCCAGGGTACAGGGAGAAGGTGGCGCCCAAACCCCAGAGTTGCAAACACTGATGCCAGGCTGAACCCCACCTAACAGGCAGTTTTGGGAAGGGAAAGATAAAGATCTCGAGCTTTCCAAAAGCCCTAGAAAACCCAGAGGTGCAAGTTCTGGCCCTCAGTTACCCCTCCTCCTCAACCTCCACTGCTGCCCCTACCCTCTGGCTCCTCCTGGGCCTTCAGCACGCTGCTCCTGGCCAGGATGTCTCTGCCAGCCGGTCAGCTTTCCCAGGGCAGGGGCACCTTTGCTTCCTGGGCACAGGCTACACCCACCTTTTCCCTGCCTAGGGGCTCAACACTCAGGCTGGATGGACAGGCACCAAGGGCCAGATCAAGTTATTAGCCTCCCTGAGTCTCAGCTCCCCCTTGGTAAAGTAGGGCGATAGTGAGGATAAAATAAAAGCCCTTTCAATCATTAACACAATAATTAGTTAAAATTACTAATAAAGGAAAGAAGAAGTATCAATGCTGCAACTGAACAGGGCTTTGGGGAGCGGAACAAGCCGCATGGGCTGGGCATGGGGGCGGGGTGCAGATGGGGAGGAAGAGAGCCAGAGGCCCCACCTGGGAGGAAACCCCTCCCTGAAACACCCCATCATCCCCCAAGGTGCTCTGAGGCTCTAGTGGGGGTCCCAGAGAGTGAGGGAAAATAGATGAACTTTTTTTTTAAAAGATTTTTTTATGTATGCACACAAGAACTGGGGTACAGGCCAGAGATGTGGGGGTGAGAGGATTCACCAGAGACAGAGTGGGGAGCAGAGCAGATTGATTGACTAAAATACACTGCTGAGGGGAGCAGCGGGCGGGTCAGGAGAGGTCTGCTGCATCATGTGGGTCAGCTCCGTGGCTGGGGATGGAACTCGGAACTCGTGCTGCAGGGGCTGTGGACAGCTTCACAGTGCTGCGCTTTAACCATTGTGCCACCACGGAGGGGCCAACATGGATGAATTTCTAATAATGGAATTAAACCTCAAAACTTGAGGACAAGGCCTCCCTGGCGGTGCAGAGGTTAAAGTCACAGCACTGTCAAGCTCCCGCCAGTTACTGCAGGGCGAGTCCGATCCCAGCCGGGGGGTGACCCACACGGCCAAGCAGACGTCTCTCCCCCGCCCCCTCAGCAGCGTGTTCCAGTGGATCCCCCTGTTCTGCTCCCCACTCTGGTGGGTCCTCTCACCCCCCACACCTCTGACCTATACCTCAGTTCTTCTATGCATAAATACATAAAAATAAGAAACAAAGAACCTGAGGACAGTTAATCCCATAAGGGCCACAAGTTGTCACAAGTCCCTGTGAGGACAGACTCGAGGCAACTGTGTCTCGGGCAGCGGCGCTCAGGTGACATCAGGCCCACAGGCCTGTGGCTTCGGAGGACCCAGGAATCTGCCACTGCAACACTGTCCCGAGCCTGACAGGTAACCCCCAAATGCCCTGGCCCCGTTTCTGCAGCCCACCCAGCCCTCAGGCGGCGACCAGCCGCACAGCCGCACAGCAGCAGCTCCTACACTCAGGGGCAAGGCAGGTGTTGAACATCTGCTCTTGTCAGATCGCAGGCGGGACACCTGCCGTCCATCACCTCCTCTAGTCTCGCGGCAGCTGTGGTGAAGTGCAGAAGCCCTATTTTACGGGTAAGGAAGATGGGGTGCAGAGGCTGGAAGCAGTGGAGAGAAATGTGGCTGTCCCCTCTACGGCCCACCGGCCACCACACAATGCAGCCTCTCAGGCCAGCTGGGCCGCTGGGCCACTCCCCTCCCAGCCCACCAGCGCCCGGGCAGAGCTGAGCTCCGGCTGCCCAGACCCAGGTCCCCTGCTTGCGCGAGGGCCAGGACCGGCCGGCTCAGCAGCCCCAACACATGCAGCGCAACACATGCCCTTGGCGGGGGCTTCTGGGCCACACTTCCCGTAAATGCTGGGCTGGGCAGCTCTCAGGGAGACAGTGCCTGAGGCCCCTCCCTGCTGGCTCCGAGGAGGGTCTCCTGGGCCCAGGCCCTCATGCCCACCCAGCTGCCCGCTCGCTTCCCCACAGCTGCCCTTTCCTTGGTTCCCAAGGAGTCCGGGTGGGGGCTGGCAGTGCCTGCCACAGAACAGCTCTGTGTGGTTTCGAGAAAGGGGTCTCCTCAGAGGCGCGGGCCCATGAGCGCTGAGCCCATGAGCGCTGCCCGCGTGCTCTGTGCAAAGGGACCAACAGCCTAATTGCACTGTCCCCTGGCCTCCCCCCAGCCGCGGGCCTCGGGCCCAGGCGCCTTCTCTCCTTTGCTCCCACTGGCTCACTCTGTTGCTCAGTGCTGTGTGCCCTGGGGTAGTCACTTCACCTCTCTGTGCCTGTTTCTCCATCTGTGCAATGGGCACAATCACAGCCGCACCTTCTGTGGTTGTGATGAGCGAACCCCAGTTTTACCTTTAAAGGCAGCAGAGTGCATGCTCTAGAATAGCCTAGAAAACGGTCATTTCTCTAGCTCAGAATTCCTTCCTGGCCACCTCCCCTGCCCCAGAAGCCCTCAAAGCACAGAATCCTTTCTCCTTACCACCTCCTGGTGAAATTAATGGTATCATCCTCCAGATTCCTGGAGTCAGGAAGCCAGGGCTCACGGATGCAACATGACCGGCCAGCGGCCAGGCCAAGTTAGCACCCAGGGCCCATGGCCAGCTTGTGCCCCCAGATGCCCACATGACCCCAGCAGGTGGAGCTCTCGCTGCTGACCCAACGTCTTGCTCAAACCAAGGCCCCAAACTGTGCAGTAACTTTGGATGGAGCCCAAGAGCGCACCGGAGCCTTCCTGCGGGGTGCTGGGCTCGCACGGGCTGGGCTCCGCCATCAGCCCCCAGGTTCCGAGGGAGGCAGGGGGTGCTGCAGGGAGGCAGAGGCCGCAGGCCGCCTTGGTCAGGGGCTGTGCCCTTGCCCCCTTCACTTTCTCCCACCTTGTGAGTGGCGGGGGAGGGGTGATGCCCAGAGGCGGGACTTGGCTGGGAAGTGCCCTGGTCTTGGAGGGAATGACCGCACCATCCAGGGTGACTGACTTCGGGCCAGTTACTGAAGCGCTCTGAGCCCCAGTTTAGTCCCCTGCAAAACGGACAGGCAAATGTTCCTGAGTTGTAGGAATGTGACCTCGGGGGACACTGAGGAACAGCTCAGGCAGGGCTGAACAAATCCCCTCGGCAGGCCACAGGAGGTCCCAGGGAGGCTGTACCCCAGAGACCCCGCTGGAGGTGACAGCTGCCCCAGATCCACAGGACTCCTGCCCCTCTCCCATCCCCTGGGGCACATTCAAACTGGGTCCCTCTTGCACATCACACCTGCCAGCCGCTCACCCAGCAGAACGACAGTCAAGGACACTCCGCCATCTTGGTCACACAGTCATAACCGCGAACCCCCCACTCCAAGGAGGGCTACGGGAAGAGAAAGCACCCCTTAGTTTCAACCTGGTTCCCATGTTTTCCCTTATTTCTGTCCTCTGCACCCCTCCACGGCATCAGCCCATCCTCCAACTGGACACCCCCTGAAACACCTGTCAGGAGGCCCAACGGTTGGGTCAAATGTTCAACTCCCAGTCAACACAGTCTTGGGGTGCAGAGTGCACAGGTAGAGGGACATGAGGGTAGAAAGCCAGGTTAAGGGGTGAACCCAGCGAGGACACCCATGTCTGGCCCTGGGGCCATTCTTCCTGCTCTCTACCACCTTCCAGGGAGCCTGGGCAGGCCCTGAAGCAGCCTCCACCCCTCCCCTCCCACACCCCCCCACCAGAGCCCCACTGGAGCCCTGCGCCAGCTCAAGACCATTAACCACCCCTCTCCCCACTCCGCACTGCCCTGAGTGATGGCCCATCTATTATGCATGCCGCCTTCCTGCTCCATTCCATTTCCCGAGTAGCCCCCCTGCACCCCATCCCCCTAAGGGCTTTTAACCAAGTACATTAGGCAGGCCAGATGCCAGTCTGACAGATGTCCGTAATGTTAGCCTCTGTTTCCCTCCTTCCTCCCTCTGCCCAGCCTGATTTACCTCCCACCATTTCCAGCTGCCGAAACTTCCCAGACCTCAGTGGTCTGCTCTGAGTCTCCGCTACACCTCCATTTCTGCCAGGCCTTGGCCACCCGCCTCCCCGCCCCCGCTGGCCTGGCTAACTTTCAGCTTCCAGCTCCTGGAGAGCCAAGGCATGCTGAATGAATATTCCATCTGGGTGATTATTATTCACATGATATTAATTAATTATTAATTGCAATTAATCTCCTTCATTCCTAACCTTCCTCTGGGAGGCAAGAGGGGCCTCGCAGCTAAAAGGGACGGGGAGCGGGTGGAGCTGCCTTTTGTGGGTGAGCTTGGGGCCGCCAATCTTTTTCCAAGTCTCCACCCTCAGCAAGGGCAAAAAGAAAACATCAAGCCTATCCGTGCATGGGGGAAACTGAGGCAGGAGCAGGCACTAAGCTCTTCTAAGAAAGCTCCCTGGTGGTAGCTGTGGTGAAACCTGGAGCCTTAATCTCTGCTGGGCTCTTATTGCTTCTCCCTGCCCCCTCCTGCCCTAGCCAAGCCCCATTTGGAGCAGAACCTCTTGCTTTGGCAGGAGGCAAGCCAGGATGGTGAAAGGCTGAGCAAGGTTGGGGTGCGCCCTGGGCACCTCTTGGTCCGCCAAGGGCAAGGGATCCCCACTATCATGGGGAGGGTCCTGACGTGGGGCAGGCGGGTGCTTCCTCTAGCCGGCTCCAGCACCTGCCTGCCGCCCACTGTGCATAAGGGGAAGCTGCTGGAGCCAGCTGCTGGGGAGGTGCCCAACCCGATGCCCAGGGCCATCCCAGGCTCTCAGGCCTACTCCAGCCCTACGGTCCCACTCACCGGGCGCCCGGGTGGCTCCTGGCGGACCCTGGTGTCCAGCTGCTGCTTTCGGACCTCGCCCCCGGAGCTCTCCCCCACCAGACGGCTGGGCTCTGTGACCTCAAAGGCTTCCTGGCCCCCTAACAGGGGCGACACCCCCCAGCGCAGAGCTCCGACAGGACCCCGGGTCCCAAGACCTGGGAAGACAAGGCCATAGCTGCAGACAGATGCCCACCCTGGGAGGAGAGACTTGGGAAAGGGGCAGACAGCCACCCCACTCTGGTGTGACCCCTGGAGCCCGGACCAGGGTGAGGATCCACTGCCCTGCAGATGGAAGAGCCCGATGGGGAGGGGGCGAAGGGCTTCACTCCTGCCCGGCGGTCACGACTGCCCCCCCAAGCCCGCAGAGACCTGCAGAGTCGGCGGGCGGCCGGAGGATGGCCGCGGTGGGGCGGGCCAGCTAGGGACAGGTGGGTGCACGCACTCGCCCTCCTCCCCCGCCCCCCGACCTCCCGCGCTCTGGACCGGTTGCACCCCAGTACTGCAGGAAAATGTGGCTGCAGCAAAA